ATAAGTTTTTTGAGTCTCCTAAGGGCACCAATCTTGGCATAGACCTTTTTTATGACACTCTGAATGTGATCAGCAAATGTTAACTTGTCGTCAATTGTGACCCCAAGGATTTTGAGTGAGTTAGATAACTCGACTCTAGAGTCACCAATGATAAATTGAGGGTCGTAAGCAATATCTCCAATCATCACAGCTTGGGACTTTATGTTGTTGACCATAAGATAATTACGAGAAAGCCAAGACAGGAGGATGTCAATATCATGGTTCAGGAAAATTTCCAAGAAAGTGATATCGTGATGAGATCAATAAGTTGTCGTATCATCGGCATATAGACGCAAGGAAGCGATCTGGCCAGCAAAGTTTAAGTCATTCATATATATTTAAAAAAAAGGGACCGAGAAGACTACCTTGAGGCACACCACATTGAACGGGAAGCCAATCAGAGAATTTGCAATTAAATTTAACTCTTTGCTGTCGCTCGGTTAAGTATGACTGGACGAATCTGAGGGCGTCATCATTCAGACCATAAGCACGCAGCTTGGCTAGGAGTAAACTGTGACACACAGAATCAAAAGCTTTGGAAAGGTCAATGGCAATAGTTCCAGTGACTTTCTTAGAATCCAGGGCTAGTCTCCAGTCGTCAACCATTTTTAGAAGAGCAGTACAACATGAGTGCCCACTTAAGAATCCAGACATATTGAGAGAGAAGTGGGTCTTGAAAGCATCATAGAGCTGATCATACATAACTTTCTCAAGAATCTTGGTAATGGACGACAAGATACTGATTGGTCGGTAGTTTTCCACAAGAGAGCTATCATCCTTTTTATAGACTGGAGTGACATTACTTAATTTCCATTCCTGTGGCCACAGGAATGGTCCTAAATGTAATAAAGTCCTAAATGTAAAAACATTTGGTCCTAAATGTAATAAGCCTCTAATGCAATCGTTCGACTGCGCTAATGTACTGTTGTTATAGCGGAAATCCACATTGAGGTGTTAACATGCAGCTGTTGTACCAAAAAATCCTCTGACCAGTATTCATGTCACATTGCGGGCTCGTTGATATCAACCAGCATCTTTTTACTTACTCGTCGCAAAGGTAAAGACAAAAAATTTATATCCATGCCCGCAAATTGTCCGAGCTGCAAGTCTGCAGACCTCCTTGTCCAAGTTGTTAATTTGGTTTATGACTTGTAGCTCCATCACTGATCACACAAGTACAACGTTATCACATTTTTCCAAAATCCATCGTACTTAAGAGTCTGAGCCAGTGATATATGGATGTATTGGTCACCGTACTCATTGTTTCGCCAGCTGTCATTAGATGCTGTCGGTATAACGGTCTCCAGCCAATGCTACTTGACTTGCGACGTGTAAGTAAAAAGATGCTGGTTGATGTCAACGAGCCCGCAATGTGACATGAATACTGGTCAGAGGATTTTTTGGTACAACACCTCAATGTGGATGTCCGCTATAGGCGGATTCATGCTGACGTCATTGTTTACATTTTTGCTCATTTGCATACGTCTTTGCGTAAAGAAGGAAGCATGTTAGATACAAATTGACTTCAGGCAGCTAAAGAGCTAGATAACCTTAGTACATGGTGAAATTTTTAGCTCTTTGGGTGTAATATTCAAGGAGAAATAGTCCATCAAAAACTGCAAAATTTCTGGGTGGCAAAAGCGCTAATGAGCTCATACATTCTATGTAAAATTTTGAGTTTTTAAACCCGTGTTGCACAAAAAGTATTCAATGCATCAGGCTCGTATTCATTGGCCGAGTTAATCGTACTTTGACCTTTCGATATTCAGAACTGATTTATTTTTAGCTCCATCAGAAACTGAATTGCTTATGCTAATGAGGCAAATATTGTAAACAAGGATTCCCGCTAGCCAATTTGAATTGTACGGATTACGTGTTTCAGACAGTCAAAGAGCAGGCCATTAGACGTCATCTGTAATCTAGAAAAAAATTCGGAAACGTATAGATAGAATTAACCTTTTAGAGGAATTTGGAAGATTTTCGAATTCGCTTTTACTTCAGAGAGGGCTCATTTGCAGACCTCATTAGAAGTTTAGAATACGATCTCAAATATCAAACAGAAAGAGGTCTGCCATATCGCACTGACAATCATGCAGTAAGTCGTAATTGCTCTGAAATATTATGCGACTGGGTTTTTTGGTGTCCCTGTGTTTTTCACATGCACCATCATTCACAGGATGTCAAGGGCAGTTTCGTGACGAAAAGAAAAATTCCTGTCTTTCCTNTTATTACATTTAGGACCAAATGTTATTACATTTAGGACTTTATTACATTTAGGAAAGTTATTACATTTAGGACTTCAACAGCCGCTTCACAATTAAGTTAAAGAAAGCTGTCAAGCAAGTTTGAGAATAAGACAGAACGCTAGCTGGGACACTCTTCCACGCAGAATTTGCTGGGAATTTTGTAAAATACGGCCTGGAGCTGGCCAAATTGAAATTCGACTTTTCACGCTTAAAATAGAATAACAAGGGGTGTTAAGATTCTTCATGGACTTTCTCCGGTCTATTTGTCGTCCCTGTTACAAGAATATCACCCACCACGTACTCTACGTTCATCTTCCAAATCACTTCTTACTTTCCCCACTATGAATTCTCTGACATACAGTGAACGTGCGTTCTCCTTCTGTGCACCTACATTATGGAATACACTTCCTGATTCTCTTAAATCTGCAGCTTCTCCTTCGTCTTTTAAATCTGCCCTAAAAACATTCCTATTCCGGAAATTTTATTTTTAGTACTGTGAAACACTACATAGGCTTTTATCCCAGTTAACTTTATTTTTGTTAGTGTAGGTGCTACTGACTGTTAGTATCATTGTTATATTTTATATTTACTATGCTATGTAAGCGCATTGAGATTCTTAAATGCGCTCATAAAAACCTAACTATTATTATTAGTATTATCATTACTAAAATAGAATGATCTGATAACGTGAATTGAATGTGAAATGATTTCAACACTCTCTGGTTTCTGAATTGTAAATTACATGAACAGATTGTATCAGGTGAAAAGATTACGCTTCGCGCTCCCCACATACTAATTTAAAAGAGAGACAACTCGCTTTTGTTTATGAGTATTGGTGCATGTAGAGTCACTAACAAATTCAAAAACAATCACTGAGCATTTACTTAAAATAAAATATTACAAAAAGGCACGTCGACTTTGGACCCACGAACAAAACAGAAAAAAGGTAAAGAAAATGCCCATTGACATTTCATCCTGTCCATGTTGGTAGATGCCCTTTTTATCATATTGTTGCGTGATAACACTCATGAAAAAAAAAAAAAGAGCAAATCAAAAACAAAAACAAAACAAAAAAACAATTTGAGGATAAGTGAAGTTGCCGTGACTAACTGGGATATTTTTAAGTTTACCAAAGCGGCTGTTCCTGGCGTGGATCCAATTTTAGACCGACCGGGAAAGTTTTTTCTGCCCAAGAAAAACCATAGAGTAACCAATTGTTGCCCTTATAACGAAATAAAATTTATTCACAAAAGGAGAAACTGATTGGAAAGGATTTAGAATTGCAAAATCTCCAGGTGCGATCGAAGTAGCCGTTATGATAATGAACGTGATAATCATGACCTTACTTAACACACGTAACTTGTCAAATATTAAATGTGTCTCCTAAAGATTTGCTCAAACATATAGAGAAAGTGTCACACAACAATTCAAGGCTAGTTATGCACTGGTTTATCTTCTATTTCACAATTAACCTGTCTCGTCTGACGAATATTGATCCACTTATGTATCATGCGTGCATCACGTTTCCGGCCGATTCGGTACTCTGGCTCTACACTTAGGACTGCATAATCAATCAAGTCACACTCCGGTTGGTGAATATGGCGTTGCTTTGATCTCATTTGGACAACTGTTACCGGTCAACAATTCAAACGTAAGGATTCTTAAGTTGAGGAATTCAGTGGACAGGTCTAGAGAACGATTATGGAAGAACAAGAAACCGAGGTGAGTCAGCTCAAGCTGATTCAATGTGCTTGCGAAAACTTCTATATCATATGATTATGTTGCAGCTCATGTAAGACACGAGATGAGTTTTTTAACTGAATGAGGTTGTACGAACATCAGTAAACGATATAATTCCAGTTTTGGTGTGCACCAATACAAGATTGTATCACAGGTTTACAAGCATAAGCCGGCATCACCATTGAAATGTGACTTGTTCACATTTTCGCGGTTTTACATATTTTTCCTTTCATTGTTATGGAGTCGTTCTGAAGGGCGTGCTTAAATCTTCGAACTCTGACACGGAATTCTGACCGGCAGAATTTCCTATTTATTTCAAATGCACTGAACTGTTTTCTCTCCCCAGTCATTTTCCAAATCATCGCTGTTCTAGTTCAAGCTCAAGGTATAACTCTCCATAGCTCTTGAGAAGGAAACTTTCGAAATATGCTAATAAGAACTTAAAACAAGTATTCAGAAACTTCGACAACCATCTTTTCATTTACAAATCTTATTTAATTTTCTGTTGAATTAAATCTCAATGACAATGAACAGTTCAGCAAGTTTTGAACTCATCTTTATGACAGAGGCGCATTTGTTTGTAAAATATATTATGTTATGTAAAATCACCTGACTTAGACGTATCCGCTGAGATTTCAAGTCAGCACTTGTTCAGTTTGATTGACCACGTGCTTGCATATCAGTGTTTATGTTATTTCGCTGATAGATGGATTGTTCTCCTGCGACTTTTGTGCCTGGGGGATACTCGATATATTCCTGGGTGGGGAGGTGCGGCGCGGTTCCTCATACCCTGACCCTGTTTAAGGCAGATATCGCTAATTTTCCTACCCTGTTTAAGACAGAATTCCGATTTTTCATACCATGTTTAAGACATTTAATTTGCCTGGTGTCAATGCCAAAATCAACGCAATTCAATATTAATTAAAATTAGAGCTTGTAAAAATTTTGCTGTTTATTTTCCAAGAAAAGATATCCTGTTTAAGACAAAAGTTGATAAATCGATACCCTGTTTAAGACAAAAAATGATAAATTCGATACCCTGTTTAAGACAAAAATCTCGAAAAACATGCCCTGGCTGGCCGCACGTTCCCACCAAGCCCTTATAAGGGAGTACCCCCCCCCCCCCGGGCTTTTGTGCTTATAAAAACGGCATAGGGAAAAATTGGACTGGACTGGACTATTTTTTGTACCATTTTTTGGACCATTTTTTAAGACCATTTTATAAGGGGGAAGCACACCTTTAGTACTCAGGGAGGGGTGGGTGTAGTCTACAAGTACTGAGGGAGGGGTGGGGGAAGAGCGTTATTGCTCAAGCAGGGGTGGTAGGTGGTTGTAATTGTAAACTCTACTGGTTTAATGGAGCTTTTACTCGATCGTAATAATTATTTTAATCGGTTTTTCGACTGACTTCTCCTACATCAGCATTTTTGCGCTGGGCCGCGGCGTTTCTTTAATTTTTTAGTCATGCGAAAGCGAAACTGCTACGTAAACACTGGGCTTTAATTCTTATTGAAAATATCGCGTTTACGATCCTCCACTGTCGAGTTACCAGTCTGGTAGAGGTTATGTGTGTGCATTTTGAGTCGACTTGTGCACTCAGTTTTCATTTGTGTATACAGTGTGTAATTACCAGATTTATCTATCTTTCTTTTGTCATTGATGTTATCAGACGAGATCTCGAAATTTCTGTTCCTTGGCCCTTGACTGTAGCCGCAAATATAGAATTCACAAGCACTATCGCAATTTTAACGTTTGTACGTTTTGGTACAATCGTACAAAGCAATATTCTCTCAGGTGTCTCGTTTAACACAGACCTCGAAAACGCAGACCGCTGACCGCAGACCGCAGACCTCGAAAACGGTAGTTTGGAAATATAGAATGCCGGAATTCGCAACCAGAACCGGAACAGGAATACTTGGAATACCCAGAATTCCCGGAATTCCAGGAATGACCGAAAAATAACAAATTGAAAAAAATAAAAGTAAATAAATAAATAAAAAGCATTGATGATTAAAATTTAATGGTAAATTCAGAAGTTAATTAAATAATTTAATACGAAATTTTTCTCTGAGGGTCCCAAAAAAGGAAAACACTTACCGGCACTGTTCATGGAGATGCACGTTCTAGAATTGAAAAAAAGTCTGCGTCAGGCCAGTAGTCCATACAGCCTAAGCGACGAAATATTTCTACTTTCTCTTCCCCCTGGATGGGATGCTAGTCCATCACATGGTTACTCCCCGCTTTAAATTCGCCTCCACTCATTTACACACCTATAGGATGTCTAGCCAGGGCGCCATGACCATTAGGCCTGCACGCTTTTCCAGCCGGAACCACTGCAGAAGATTAAACAAATGCAATATTTCCAATTAGTTTAAAAATCTCCGAACTATTGCAAATTAATACTCTACCTTAAATAATTATTAACCACACATTGGGAGCTATTAAAGCAGCTACCAGCCGTCCCCAGTTAAAGTTGAGAGATCGTCAGTTACTCGACACCTTTTTATATATACCTTGAATACCTTTGAATATAAACCTTGTACTGATGGATTCTTCTAAACAAGAAAAAGGACAAAAAAGGACTTACTCCTTGGTTGTCTCTGGAGATGGTAAGTTTTTTTTCCAGTTACTTTTTTATGGTTGTGGTTTCACTTGAATGCTAAATTTGACCC